GTGTGGTGCTCACCCGGAAGACCTAATTAAACTGTATAAAACGAATATTCTTTCAGTTCTTGAGTCTGGCTCTGTTTGCTTCCTCTCAGCAAGAAAAAGCCACCTAATTAAATTGGAACGCATTCAATATCGTTGTTTACGTATTACCCTTGGCTGTATGCATTCAACACACAATATGAGCCTAGGTTGAGGTTCTAGCGGTAGTAAAGCCCCTGTTTCTGGGAGCTCTCATTAAGAATATTGATTATATGTAGTGTCAGTAACAACCTTGTGATTGAAAACTTCGAAGAAATGGTCGAATTGAGCATCCAGTCTAGATTCGTGCGAATCTACCTTAATTATATGTCATCGGATATTAGTCTTCCGTGCTATGACCCTCCTGGTGTACGCTTTACTAACTACAGTTCCTCCATTGACTATGATTTCTCCATGATACAGGCTATTTAAGGAGTTCCAGATCAACTTCGACCTATCTCAATTCTCCGTATTTTTACTGAAAAGTAGGGTAGACAACTACTTCGGCCTAATCGCCCATTTTGGGCCTAACGAGCAGAAAAGTTCAAATAAATCCATGCTTTCAGAGTTAACAAGTCATTATTCCCAAAAAACAAAAGAAGCGCTCCGACCGAATCATGTTTTATCTTCATCCGATAGGCCGAAGTGAATTCATTGGCGTTTGAATGCGTTAGGTTGAGTTACGAATCCGTAGGCCGAGTTTGGCGTCAAGAAGCAGTGTTAGACTTTTGAAAATATCTCAACGATTGGTTTCTCTTTATCAAATCTTACGGTACGTACGGAAAGGTAAATAAATTTGAAAGCCATCAGTAATAATAACATTCCGTTTGGTGCTAAACTGCGCTAGATTAAGAAAGGCTAAATACGGGTTGTGCTTAATAGGCCGGGGTAGTTAAGCCTACCAACAAGTCAATTGCAATAGAAGATTTTTCACTGATGGATCACGCATTGCTGGATTTACTGGCTTCGGCGTTTTCAATGAATACTCAACCGCCTTTCGGAAACTTCAGGAACCTTGTTCCGTTTATGTTGCTGAGCTAGCAGCAATCAACTTCGCATTGGGGATGATTTCCGACATGCCCATAGACCATTACTTCATCTTCTCGGATAGTCTCAGTTCGATTGAAGATATTTGGTCGATGAAAGGTAAGGGAGCAGATGAGTGTGCTGGTCGAAAGATCATATATGATTACCTTTGTATGGGTCCCCTCACATTGCTCAATCCCAGGCAATGAGAAGGCAGACTCTCTCGCAAAGGTGGGCGCGCAACAAGGCGAAATTTATGATAGAAAATTTCACATGACGAATGTTTTCCTTATTAGAGAGTTGAATAAATTTTTCTCCTTTAGTTTACTTAAATCTTTGGTTTTAATTAGTTAGGTAGGTTCCGATTCAACACATTGTAGTTTCATTTTTATACCTGTGATCTTGACTTTTATACCTAGGGGATGAGTACTTAAGGGGGTTAGATTTTGAATAGTTCTTTAGTGGGAATGACATTGTAGTCGAAATACGTATCTGTCATGGATACCAAAATTAATTAAGTGGAATTAAATGGAACCTTTTTTGCTGTTTTATTTTAGCATTCCGCTAACAACCCAATTTCATTACTTCAGAATGTTTCCCATTAGAACGTCAGAGTTCTCTTTTAAGTTGGCAAAACGATTGGACAAGTAATTCTCTTGGGCGGTGGTTACATTCCATTATTACAAATGTTTCTTCAAGAGCGTGGTTCAAAGATCTGGACGTAAGTCAGGGATTCATTCGCGTGATGTCAAGACTTATGTCCAACCACTACTCGCTAGACGCACATCTCTACAGAATAAACCTCGTTGACAGTAATATATGTAGGTGCAGAACCGGTTATGATGACAGCGATCACGCAGTTTGGTATTGCCCGGGTAATGACGCCTCCAGAGCACGACTATTAGATACCCTAGTGGCCCGAGTTAGACAATCCTTCCGTGAAGTAAGAGATGTATTGGGAACCCGTGATCTTCCCTACATGCAAGCGATCTACGAATTCCTTTGTTTGTCTGATGTTAGAAAAACCTTAATATCTTGAAATATAATGAACTAAACTTTTTGAAATTTTGCTCATTTTAGTCATTATAAAGATCATTGATAGCGGCGCCGGTGGTGTAGTGTTAAGCGTGATTATCTCTCACCCCAGAAGGTCTGAGTTCAATCCCAGTCGGCGCCGCGGGAAGTAAACCCGTTGGTCCCCGGTTCATGAGTTGATGGGTCGATAGGTAGGGTCCAGGTGTGGGAGCTGCCTCCCTGGCGTCGGTAGCATTGGTGCTCAGCACGGAAAACAAGATCGACGGAAAACAAACCATAGGCAAACAAGATCATTCATATTCCACTAATTTTACTAAAATTCGTCTACTAGGTAAAAAATTGAAAATCGTGCGTTTTATCTAATTGCATACAGATTATTCCAATAAAGTCCAAAACTAAAACGACAAATCAGTAAACATCTGTTTAACCACCAGCCAAGATTTAAAAAAATATATATATCTATTCAGAATGTTTCAAAAAATGTTCCCCTAGGGTGTTCGCTCAATTTTGCGATATACTGTATGTCATTGCTGATTTGCCGTTACACGTTTTTCGGAGGCATCCTGTTCGAAGTGTTAAAAAACAATAATACAAAACAACATTTAGCAGGACTCTTAAACCTGCACCGATCTGTTCCATAGGGTACAGCACCTTTTCGTCATACCTCACTTCACTTCGGCAAGCCCAATTTACAGCAGTCGTAATTTTTACAGTCATCCAAAAATTAATTTTAATATCACATCATGTAATATTACTTGCCAAAAAGGACAAAATCATCATTAATACAGTGCATAAACTGACAATACGCGGCTTTTACTGCATTTGTTTATTGTCGTGGCCATAAAAATTACATGAGATTTGACATTGATTAAAATGCATCCTCTTGGATGTAATATTTAAATTTATTTTATGCTGTGTAGGTTTATTTTTAGACGTGTGCAGTTTTACAGCTTTTACTCTGCTCCTTTACAAAGCTGAAGTAACTAGTAGAGGAAAGTGATTCATGTGCAGTATTATAAAGTCTCTACTCAGAGATCATGTTGTAAAAAAGCATGTAGATGTTTCTACGTCAGTTCAAAGTGTTGGTGTGGCTAAGTTGGTAGTGTCAAGGTTTGCCAATACAGGCGTCTCGAGTTCGATTCCAGGTTCCGGTGCAGGGTAAATAATGTGGTGGAGTGCTTATAACTAATTTTGATTAATTGATTCACAGCAAAATAAACTCAATAAATTCCTAAAAAAAAAAGTCATGAACAATATTTAACCCGGCTTTAAGAAAAAGCTGTGTAGTGATTATTGGATAACGGGGAAAATGTTTAATAAGTACCTTTCAAGTTTACACACAACTTAACAACAGGATAACAGCTGTATAGAAGCGTAATTAGAAATGCAATAAGAGCTTGTCCCATCCCGTCTCAACAGCCATAAGTAGCTGAATAAGTTCGCCAGATTTCCTTGTATAGAGGTTGAGTAAAGGTTGCCTCATATCGTATAACGTTTTTGAATACTGCTTGAGGCTGTATAAAGGAAATGAGTAAAGCGTTTACATTGTGAAAATTGTTAGTTGGGCCATTATTGAAAAACAACGATAACTTTTCCTCGGATCCATTTTCCAGGTAACGGATTGTGTTTGTTTTTAACTGGAGGATTCACAAATAACTACTGATCATAAAATCATATATTGATTTACTGATTCCTTAAAAAATGCATTATGTGCAAAAGATGACACAGTTGTTAAAATCATCGAATGAAAATTAAGCTTTTAACAGCATATAGCACAAAAGAATGGAACGAATTAACTTTTCGTATATTTTTTTAGATGTTTTACTTCATGAATCACAGTTTAACACTCTATTGATACCTTATTTCGGATGTAACATAAAGGAATAATCATTTGAAATAACTCATGCCTTTGTGTTCTCTACTTGCAGGCAAGGTTGCAAAGACTCATTTCAGCTAAAACAATGTTTTTCTAAATTATGAAATAATTAGATGCCATGATCAAATTTTGAATAGGTAGGATGCAAGAAGAGGTTGCAAAGAATGTGTTTGACATATTAAACTTGTTTATTTCACTTCATGAGAGTCACAATCAGCGATTTTTCACAAACTCACTCACTCACTCAGCGATCAGCAAATCGCTGATTGTGACTCATAGAAAGCAAAATCTCCAGGTTTTATGTTTCCAACGCATACTTTGTAACCTCTTCTTGTAAGTTACAAGTAAAACATGCCATCATACCATCTTTTGGTTTTATTATTCCGAAAAACATTATTTTAGCTGAAATGAGTCTTTGCAACCTTGCTTGCAGGTTATGTTTTGTCTCTATCATGCGATGTTGTCGTGCGTCTTGCCATATTGCACCATGAATCAGCCATTTTGCCCCGCAATCATTTTGGAATCAATCTAAAAAATGCCTTGAAAATCATGAAAAATCATCATTTTGTAGTTCGAAATCTCTCGATCTTCGTAGAAAACATTGTAATGAACCATACTCCATTACTTTCTCCTTGATTTTAGCTTCCATACGCCAGTTATTGACGATTTTGCTTAAAAAGTATGTTTTGCACCATCCTACTATACATGAAACCATTATTCACCATTCACTTTTATATTGTTCTATATTGTTCTATATGGCTTAATCAGTTCAATTTCGTCACAAACTGTCCTAACCAGTTTCAGTTCATTAAACACAGCTGAATCTGCAGGTGCACTTTGGTCATGTGTGTTTTTTTTGCATCCATGAACAGGCTGTAGCATGAAACAATTGCATTCCAAACCACCGCTCATTTCCATTCTTCATTGCCCCAACACACTGGCTATCAGCTCATTCTTCTGGTCTGTGACCATGCACCAGTTCAACACTTATTGTCACACGAGTTCATTAGCATTGAATGGATTCTCATAAACCCTATCTTGAACTTACAATTTTCCACATCTTCGATCGGCGCACTTTCAAGGTTCTACTGCGAACACTCAATTCACCCTTTATGCACGCTCTTCACAGTCCATTTGATTGGTCAACACAATTCACAGCTTTGAATGAGGAAGAACAGTTCTTCAACTGCTGCTGCTGTTGCTGCTTCAAAGTAAATTTTCCAACGACGATGGGGTGTATGTTGTTGCTATTTTTCTTCCCAGTTGCAGTTTCGGTACGCGATCGCCTTTCGCCTTTCTACGAGGAAATGTACGGATGGAAATTGCACTGACTACTGTTTGAAATTTCACCCGGGCGCTCCACTTTTATATACTTTTCATCAAACATTGGGGCCTACCTTTTGGCCGCCCTTCACCACTTACACACAATAGCCGAGGAGGCAGGCCCACCAGGAACGAAGCCGCATCGTTCGGACGATTCAAAGTGTTTCTTAACAGTAAAGGGTGCCTGCAAATTTAACCGTTCTTCTATTGTGGAAACGGGTTGAAATTCATAGATTATGTCCGTTTTGATTCAACTACTGCAGGACCATTTATGGATGTCACTTATAGGTGGATTTGTGAGCAAGCTTTGTTTTTCTTCTGATCAATCAACATCAGCCTTAGTGCCAGTGCTGTCCGTCGGAAGAATCTACCGTGGGATGAAAATGCAATTAAGTGGTATCGATGTCCAATGAGCTGCATTGATCGAAAACAAATCAAACGCATTATTTTGTGCTGCAGCTTGTGGATCTATAGGAGAATGTGTCCTCAATTGGAAGTGTGATGTAATGCGATCATTGGGTCATTATGGCATTAGATCCTAATCGGAAATATAAAGGAAAGTGAAATTTCATGAAACTGAATTTGCGAGCGATGAAGGGATTCAAAATGCTGCCTGACTTATAGTTTTATTCTTTCCGATAATTTTACATAATTTGCTTCCAAACCCTAATAGAAATAACCATAAAAGAGGGCTTAACGACGTATTCGGGGTATCATCCAAACTATTTGTGGGATAGTTTACCCATCCGGGATACAGTTCGTTCATGGTATATGTTTATTAGGGATGGCTTCTCTACAAATATGAAATATTTTCATAAATTATTTTAATCTAGATTTATTCTCTGGCCTACCTATATAAGTTACTGAAATCAGCATTGAGGCAGACAAATAAATAAATAAATCTTTAAGGCTATGTTCCAAGAACATCAGGTCAGTTCCATGAACTACGAGAAAATTTCAGGAACTTTACAACAACTTCAAGAAACTCCATAAAACTTCAGGTTCCGGAGTTCAACCAGCGTCTGGTTGAAAATTTCCTTAATAAAGACAACCAACCAACCAACCAACTTCAGGTATGTTTAGAAATCTTTAGGAATGGCCAAAGAGTATTGGTAAAGTTCTGAAAACTTCAGGGCAGTACCTTAAATATCCGAAAAACTTTAGGGAAGTTTCGAAAATTTTAGAAACATTTTGAGAACTTCACAGCCGTTCAATTGACTTCGAACAAATTTCAGGAACTTTACAGAATATTAACTTCAGAAATAATAAGAGAACTCGAATGAAGTTCCGAGAGTTTCAAGAAACTTTTGTTAACATTATATTAGTTGGCAGATATCCATAGCTATGGAAAGCTAATATTAAAACGATGAAATGCTCCTTAAATCATGAAAGAATGCTCCTTTACTGCGTAGCAACTCAGATGTACTGTCATGTCTAGAATAAGCTTCCGAAAGAAGCTCATTTTCGAATCTTCTTAAGAATCCTCGTTAGAAGCATCTTTTAGAATCTTCTTCAGCAGCTTCTTTTGAAAGCATTTTTTTAGAATATCTTTTATAAGCATATTCTTTGACGCTTGCCTATCAAGGGGTTAGGTCACTGTAGCGGGTTCAAAAAATAGTTTTTTTTTGTCTTAAATGATAGTTTAGAGTCTAAAGAATACGGGACAATTGGTTTTATACCCGGGAACACGTTCTTTTGCATAATTTTGGGGCGGAGACTAGGGGGCTATCCTTAATCGAGATCGGTTTAGTTACCCGGCGCCATACCACCCTTCAGGGCATTCCAAGCAACAATGCATAGATTCAGGCGTGAAGGAACGTACCGCTGTAAAAATACACTATTTTGCAGATTAAAACGCAAAAAAACATGCCAAATATCAAAACGAACACATATTAAAGGTAACTACATAATCGACCCGAGTAGCACAATTTCATCACAATAAGTTACAGTAACTTGTATATGACTGAAATAAGTCGTATGTAAGTTTCTACAATTGATTTGAGACAAGCGTGCTACTAGGGGAGTATAATTTGGTTGCGCATCGTTTTGCTTGAATCTGTAAAACTTTATAAGAGCTCTGCTGTCATTCCTCCGCTCATTAAAGTTTAGGGTGGCGTGGCAAGCAGAAGCAGGAGCAAATCAGGAAAAGGTAGATTTTTACCCTTCTTACAAAGAAGGGTATAGATATCACTTGAAAAACCGACTATCGATCCGAGGCCCGGAGGGCCGAGTGTCATATACCATTCGACTCAGCTCGACGAGATCGGAACATGTCTGTGTGTGTGTGTGTGTGTGTGTGTGTGTGTGTGTGTGTGTGTGTGTGTGTGTGTGTGTGTGTGTGTGTGTGTGTGTGTGTGTGTGTGTGTGTGTACGTGTGTATGTGTGTATGTGTGTGTGTATGTAACGAAACGAATGCGCTCACGTTTCTCAGCAACTGCTCAACCGATTTGGACAAACTCGGCGCCAAATGATAGGTCTTGGGGTCCCATTGAACTATTGAACGGTTTTGGAATCGGTGAACCGGTTCCGGAGATATGGCCGGAATAAGATCCGGTGAATATGGGCCTTCACGCTGGATTTAACGGAAAAAGTATCAAAACCATCATGCGACACATCAAATTACTACAGAATTCAAAAATAAGATCAATGCAAGTCGTGTTAAGTATTCCAGACCACATTGGACACACTTGGACATGTTCCGGGTACCCCGGGGAAGTTGCTTGAATATGAATTGAATTAAAACCCATTAAATCACATTAAAATACGATGATAAGGTGATTGGTAGCCTCACCAAATAGACTACACCCGGATATATTCCGGGTACCCCCAGGCAGTAGCGTAGCGTCACTGGATGACACGGGGGTGGGGAGCTTGGTCACTGATAATGACAATAAAATAAATAAACTTGAATAAGTAAGAAGGGTCTGATCACACCATAGGTGGATAAATTCGGGTTTTTCCCTCTGCCTCTGCTAAACAATAACGCAGTCAGCCTAGAGTAATGCTGTTGTGAATCCGCTCATTTTTGCAACGGACGGACGGTGTGGTAAAATAGCAGCAGTCAGCGTGATCACCGTGATGGCAATCAACGATGGGGTGGAGAGGATGTGGAATTTGTGGAGATCGAACAATTGGACCACACATATTTTACAGAAAGAGTTATTCAGACTGTTTTCGGTACCGTTCAAATAATATGAAACGCGAGAAATGTTATTTTTATAAAACAAACCTGGTGCGATCAAGCCGGATAATGTTGTGGTCACGCAACCAGAAGCTGTAGCCGGACTTTAGATGGGTCTCGGTTAGAAGGCCCACGTCGATATTGTGCTTGCGGAGGAAGTCGGCAAGCTCAATATGTTTTGCTTTTACAGAGCAAGCGTTCCAGGTAGCGATGGTTAGCGGTTTAAAAACCATACTGGATGATGATCTTACCGAGCACTTGGATCTGTTCGGGCTTATTGCGGCACTTACGTAGAGCAACGGTCATGTTAATGAAAAACTCCATCAATTCATCGGCTGAGAACAGATCGGGATTATTTGGTTGAGCTGTTGGTTGTCTCCAGAATCCGGGGGGGGGGGGGGGGGTGGAGAGCTTAGTCCGGCAGAAGATCTAGACGTTTCTTGAAGAGGTGCGGATCACACCCTTGGATTCGCTTGTCCATGAAGAGGCGGAAAGTCCTCCACCCTGAAAGCCGGAGCCTTATCCTTCCTTCGCCCTGATTGATTGTTGGTGGACGCCTGTTTTCGGATGCGCTTAAAATCCTCGCGTTTAGGGCACTGCTTGTCAGATCCTTGGTGAGCAGGGTTGCTTCCACTCACTTGCTATAAAAACATAATTTTCGGAATTATGCAATCATTAGATGTTATAATGATATGTTGTACTTGTAAGTAACAAGAAGAGGGTGTAAAGTATGTGTTTGACTCATAAAATCTGTCAATTCCACTTTTAGAGCATCACAATCAGCGATCTTATGATTCGTGAGCGTTCACTCAGAGTGAGCGCTCACGAGTCGTAAAATCGCTGATTGTGATACACTGAAAGCAACATTGCCAGATTTTATGTGTCAAACTTATACTTCATGACATCTTCTTGTAACTTACAAGTACTTATTAGCATTATACTATTTCTAGAGTAACATTTGAAATGGGCCTATGTCCAAAACGTAAACAAACCAGAAAATGAAATTTAAATTTTGGCCGCCTCAATTCAATTCATATTTAAGAAAATTGAAGTATTTTAGGCATTTATATTGTTCACAATAACAATAGTAACTGTATCTCAGTATACAACATCCAAAATATGCGAAAACCTTTCAAAAATATATGAAAATCGATAACAATATAATTTCATAAATTAATAAGCCTTTTTTGTGAATCTTTCAATGGATTGGCCCTTTTTGTTAAGCCGTTGTGCTTGTCATCAGAAATGGTAGGCCCTTTGCTAAGCCTTTTCGCAACGTCAAATAAATTCAAAACAAATCATCGGCCCTGCCTCAAGCAGTAGGGCCTAGCTTTGGTTTGAAATTTTTCAATCATCGGCCCTTCTACGTCACTAGGCTTAACAATGAAATGAAATAAATGAATGGTTGGCCGTTTTAGCGTGCGGGCCTATAAATGAATCGAAAAATTTCGTTGATCGGCCGTTTCGAAAATCGAGTTATTTTTAATGATTTTTCTCGATTATGCGGAACTTTCTTACACGATTAGTAGCTATCAAGCGGTGCTAAAGAATGGTATCAAAACCCGATTTGTTTACGTTTTGGACATAGGCCCATTTCAAATGTTACTCTAGATTTCATGATTTCATAATTCCGAAAAACACTTTTTTATAGCAAGTGAGTGGAAGT